TATTAGGGGGAAGGGATTATTACAGTACCGCATAGAAGGCCATTTCCGTTAAGTATGGGACATATCCTTATTGGCCTGTATCTCATATGACTGGAGCCCGTGGGCCTCAGCTGAGGTTTGGCGCAGTATCGATCGCATGCGCCAAGCATTCACAAGTGGAAGGACAGCAGTGTTTGATCTTATTCACTTTAGTACAGGGAGCTCAATGGCTACATATCAGGATTAGTCTCTCATAGCCCTTGAATACCGGTACTGTACCCTTTTCTGCTAATTCTGGCATATTCGTGATCAGGAAAATCCCTCTTCCGCCTTCATGGTTCTTCTAAACATTCCACGTTAGCTCTCGCGACATTCAGCGATAGTACTGTTACTAGCAATTGCTTTGTGCATGTGGGATTCAAAGCGTTCGAGGCTAACGGGTCATCCGTACGGAAAAGCTCAAGTTCTATCCAGGTAATGTCCTATAGCCTCTTGACATGACCCACATGGGTACCACTAGTGCCCAGTAGTATACCCAGCTACAAAGAAGGTGTGTCGCGATTTTAGCCTTGAGATGAAAATCAATCTTGCACCAGCTGAGCTGGCGGCATTGTCCAGGCTGGAAAGATCAACTCGCTCCCCAAACATTATCGTTTTGACCAACTTCCACATGTCATAATCCACCACATGACTGCCCCGCGCCCCGGCAACACTCTTGGTGAACAAGCAGTTCACTGCCCACGGGCTCGACTCATTATAAACTGCGAAGATACATGTAGTATAACAGCCCGAGCAGCTATCAATCTTTTCCCTGGTTTATCTGCATAAGCGGATTGCTTCTGCTGTACGTAACTCGCTTCGTTTTGGCTCCTGTAGTATGTGTACCTCCCTGCAGTTAGCCATGTACTTGGAGACCCGCATTCGGCACTTCACCCTAAAGCTTGCGTAGTCCAAAGAAAGGCTCCGAGCTTTCAGCAGCCCTAAATGATGTTGCTCTGCTATATTGGGCAGAGTGGACGTTTCTTGCCGGAGCATGAGCAAAAAGATGAATCACATGCTCTAGTGCTGACTGCGGCACCTCATTTCAAGTTCTCACGGCCGTCATATTTGATACAGTACCCCTAAACCCTAAGCCCCAAACCTTCCAACCATTAGAGTGTGCAGCCATGACCTGAGGTAAGGTGGCCCTGAACCGAAGACCGAGAAAAACAAAAAACAAAAAAAAGTGTAGGGTTTAGGGCGTAGGGTTTAGGGTTTAGGGTTTAGGGGTAGGGTTTGGGGCTCCCTTCATCGTCCAGTGCAAACACGATCTTGCAAAAGTTTATATTTCAAAGTGCCCTGGAGTTAG